AGGCCCTACTTTGTGGTTTGAGGTTGGCAGCTTCATTAAAGGCTGAGCGGATCCAAGTCCGGTGTGATTCCAAGCTAGTGGTAGGCCACGTCACTGGAGAGTTTGAGGCCAAGGATGAACGAATGAAGAAGTATAGAGACACTGTCCTGGAGTTGCTTAAAGCATTTGGGGCGTATCGGATAGAGCAGGTCCCTCGGGAAGAGAACGCTGAGGAAGACATCTTGTCGAAACTTGGTCCCGATTCCCCGAATCATATTAAGGCAATGACCCAAGAAGAAGAGTTGCTCGAGCCAAGCATCAGTCCCGGACAAGTGCTGATCATCACACTCAAAGAGGAGCCGGATTGGATTGATGAGATTACCATGTACATCCTTGACGGATCGCTACCTGCCGACCCAATCACGGCAAAGGTGGTGAAGCGACGTGCACCCAGCTACACGCTGGAGTGCGGTCGTCTGTACAAGCGGTCGTACAATGGTACATTGCTAAGGTGCTTAAGAGCGGGCGAAGCACAGAAGTTAATGGAAGAAATCCATGAAGGAATATGCTCAGCACATCAGGGAGCCTTCACGATGTCCAAGAAAGTAACCTTGCAAGGATACTTCTGGCCAACGATCATTAGAGATTGTGCAGAGTATGTGCGCAAATGCAAGGTTTGCCAGGAGTTCCAGAGGGTGCCGGGGCGATCAGCGACAAATTATACCCCGATCAGCACGGCGATTCCCTTTGCTCGGTGGGGCATCGATCTGGTCGGTATTTTGCCCCGAGGGACAGGAAACAACACATATCTGGTGGTCGCAATCGACTACTTCACCAAGTGGGTCGAGGCCGCCCCCGTACCGACCATCACTGCAGAACAGATGACGAAGTTCGTTTCCAAGCAAATTTTGTGTCGATTTGGGGTGCCTCAGTAGATCATCACTGACAACGGAACCCAATTCGAGGCCGGAGGGTTCAATGAGTTTCTACAGAGTTGGGGCATAAGTCACAGCTATGCAGCGGTCGGGTACCCTCAAACCAATGGACAGGTCGAGAACACCAATCGCACCATCATGGACGGTCTCAAGAAGAAAATAATGGAATGCAAAAGTGCCTGGGTGGAGGAATTGCCCTACATCTTGTGGACCTACAGGACTACCCCAAGGAAGGCCACAGGTGAAACTCCTTTCTCGCTCACATATGGATTTGAAGCAAGGGCTCCAGCAGAGACCTCATTGTTGAGCTATAGAGTGGAGACGTTTGATGCACAAGAGAATGAGGAGAA